GCATCTATTTGGGAGATAATTTGATAGCTCGGTCATCCAAAAAGTATCACGTAGTTGCAGGTCAAGCATAGAGTCAGAATATAAAGCCCTCACATTTGCAGCCTCAAAAATTGCCTGTGTTCAGTCATTATTCAAAGAGCTTGGACTACCACAAGTGTGGATTCCAATCTTACGGTGTGATAATATGAGTGTTGGTGCCTTAGTAGCAAATCCTATGTATCATACTAGAACAGAACACATAGAACTGGACATTCATTTTGTCATAGATAAAGTCCTTGGAAAAGAATTAGAACATATATGCCTCGTTTTGATCAAATTGCAGATTTGTTGACAAAAGGTCTCTCCCATTCAAGATTCATTTTTTTGAAAGACAAGCTTGGAGTTACAATGGTACCATCTAGCTTGAAAGGGGGTGTTAAGAGTTAATCTACTCTTTTGCACCAAACACAACCATTAGCTAATCATCATTGTTGTACATTTCTGTTTCACCAGACTTGCCTGACTGGAATTCAATTAATAGTGGATTCAAAGCATCATCCATGATTTAAAGGAATGGTTCCATCTGTACATTATAGAATACTCTTAGTATTTTATCTTTCTCAATCATTCTCATTGTATAGTATATATATACACCAGATGAGACTGAAGAATTAAGCTGCAAATCATTTTAATATCCATAAAATTTCTAACTATGTCCCAACTCCCAAAATCACAAACACAAAATTAAGTTTTAGCCATGAAACCAAGTTTTTCAAGAAGGAAAATGACCATAGTCAAATGAGGTCGTTTGCTGACGAGAAGAGTTGTTATTGGCCTGTGCCTTCTGCATACTATCTTCGTACCTCCAAAAAGCATCCGTCGTTTTCTGAGATGGAGATCAACTTTTCACGTATGATTTATTTCAAAAGGGTGGATTTCAGATGGAATAATGGAACTGATTTCATGTGAGATTCTGGTTTTTCCATTTGTTTCCTTTTATTTCTATATTTTATTGTATTAATTACAAACTCATAAAACATTGATTAATTCATGAATACTACTTCAATCGGCTTCTATTCTGTGAAAGTTATTTTCGAAAACTTCGCATAAATATATATTGGACTTGGAGCAAGTTTTTGAAACTGGGTTGTTGAAATCTTGATGCCACTCAACTTAGATGTAATGAACCCAGCAAATGGCAGTGCTACGAGTCTAACTTTTTATAGCTCTGAATCCAATTAGAGCAGGAAAGAAAATGGAGTAAAAATCTAGTAAATTATTTTCAAAATATGAGAGTTAAGAGATTACCTTGAAAGAGTAGGAACAAGGGGTGTCCTTCAAATCGGTTGCCGCCAATTTCGTGGAAGAGACAATGGAGGCTAGGTTTTGAAACTGTGAGAGAAAGAATGGTCTTCATGCTTGAACACTAATTTATTTCATAGGGACAAAATCATAACGTACTAAGTTTACACCAAATCAATTTTCTAACTTTAAGTTTAAAAATTCAAAAGTCAGGTGTTGATTCAATATTTTAATTTTAAATAATAATATTATCAATTAAAATTAATCTAATCACGCCCACCCCATCAAACAACCGTCCACACCCCACCCCACTCTTACTAGTCATCACCCATTCTTACCGTCGTCGACAGCTTCTTGAGCGACGAACTAATCGTCGTGCAGTAACAACTAAGCATCATCGACTCAAATAATGGAGATAAAAGGAGAAATATAGCGACCATTGGAGAACGTCAACTGAGCATCGCTAGCAAGTGATCATCTTCTTCAGCAACACTTAGCAATGTTAGTAAGATTTAAAATTGATCATTGAAAAACAGCCACTCGTGTAATTAACAGAGTACTTACCGGAGCAAATAATTTCAATTTTCATCGTCGAAATCTGGTTAATTGAATATGTGACCAGTTCGTATAACTGAGGTCAAAGCAACCAATGACATGTGATCAGATCTCTTGAATTTGAGACTCGTGACCTATGCATTTTGATACATGATCAATTACATGTAACTTGTGACCTGTGAACATTAATTTGTAACTAATTTTAATTGATCTATGACCTATGGACATTGATCTGTGACCAATTAAATTGGTTTAGGACTTATAGGCATTGATTCATGATCATTTTTAATTGATATGTGACTTAATTGAATTTGTGACTGGTTCGAATAACTGAGGTCAAAGAAATTAATGATATGTGACCAATCTATTGAATTTGTGATCCGTGACTTATGCACTCTGATACCAGTTACATGTAACATGTGACCTGTGGATATTGAACTGTGACTTATGAACATTAATTTGCAACCAAATTTAATTGATCTATGACCTGTGGACATTGATATGTGATCAATTAAATTGATATGTGACTTATATGCATTGATATGTGATCAATTTTAATTGATACGTGACTTGTCTACATTGATCTGTGACCTAATTATGTGACATGTGGATATTGATTTGTGACCTACACACTGTGATCTATGATTTATAAATAAATTGTGATTGACCATCACCACCTCTTACACACCGCTACTATCACAATCCCAGATGTACTTCAGACCACAGTTACCGGAATCAAAGCCACCATCACCACCTCCTACACACCCTTACCACAACCACCTGTAGACATTGATCCACAGTTACGAGACTTCCCCATCACCATTTCCTACACACCACCTTGCCTGAACACACCACTTTATACACAAAATACCACAAACCAGGTTTCTTCTGCTTGTGGACCAAAGCCACAAAAACAAATCTCCACAAAATGCCATTACCACCCGTTGAAGAGGAAAATGATGAAAAAAAGTACCATATGTCATTTCTGCTGAGAAGAGGAAAATGGGGAAAAAAATACATCCTCTACTTCAAAGATGAAATGTCAAATGTGGAGAAATTTTTGGTTTGGGGGTAGTTGGAGTGAGGTTGGGATGGATTCGTGTTTTCGCATTGGTGATATTTGACTGTGAAATCACTGACCCAAATGGTGGTAACTGGTTGCTGGAGAGAGAAGAAAGAGAGAGAGTGTGTGTGTGTGTGGAGAGGAGAGAGAGATATTTACGTTGAAAATGAGATTGTGATGAATTGGGGGAGTTTGATTAATTGTAATATTAATACTAAAATATATAATTATACCTGATATATGATTAATTAAAGTTGGCACCTGAGTTTTGCACAGTAATCTTCAAATACCAACTTTTGTGTAATTTCCCCTATTTCATAATAGTGTTTCACGATTTTTATTTCGAGTTGGTCGATTTTGAAGAGTTTGAACAAATTTTAAATTAACTTGGTCCCGAACCATCCCGAATTTAATTCCAAAATCGATCGAACTCGACTCGAGTTAGGTCGGGTTTGTAGATTGTAGGGCTAGCCTAATTTGGATCCACAAATGCTACTCAATTATTCACCATAATTCCATCAACTTGTTTTGAAACCCAAACAATTGAGGGTGGCTATACTGATACTACAATTTCTTAACTCTTCCAGAATTGATGAAAATGGGAATATTGATTATTGAACCCATTCGCTTGTCTCTAACAAACAAGAGAAAGAATTCGGTTCAGACGTAGGATACCTATCCAAAATTTTTCACAACTCAATCATAGATGATTGAATTATCAAAGATTTGACCTTTTGAACTTTGTATGTAACTCACTAGAGGCTCGGGAAACAAAGAGAAGATGTGTACGAACGAGATGCCTAACAACAAGAAGAATGAAAATGATTGAATAGAGAAACTCCCGAAGATTTGGCAAGTGTCAAAATTTAATTGCATGAAAGACCCTTAATTGACATATTTATGTCCTTGTCTTTTTCATTGCATTTTTTTTTTCAACTTTTTATTACTTAGCACATCATGTCCTTGATCATGATTTTCGTAAAAAAAAAATTGTTAAGAGAACACAAAAAAAAATTGTTTACTCCTCGTAATTATTGAAAAGTTGTATGGGAAAAACTTGAGGACATATATATGATAATATGTAAGAAGCACGAAACTTCAATTACGTGAATATATTTTCTCACAAGCAAATATTTTGTATTTATTACATTTGATGCCCTCCATGGCTTTCTTTTTTTTTAACCTTGTTGTTTCTCATTATTTTTAAAATATATTTTTGTCTATTATTTTAAATCACGCATCCTTCAATAAAATAAGAATCCTGCTACATGTACAGCAATGGTTGACAATATTGGTTGACAACATCCTATTTGACATCATCATATCCATCCATTTTAAAAAACTATTTTCTATGTCACATATTAATTTTTTGACAACACATGGTTGTCAACCATTGTTGTCAACAAATATTTGTACACTTAGATTTATTCATAAAATAATATTACACGTAACTTCAAAATTTTTCTTTAATTTTTAACCACGTATTTTTCATTAAATCATTATTTTAAAATGTAATTTTTGCGAAAAAATGAGACTCAAACATACTCGTAATAAATCAAGGCACTACCCTCTAGGTGTTGACATTGCGCCAAAAAAGAATTAATGAAATCTCTTCTCTAATAAAGGTCAAAGTTGACAAAATCAACGCCCACCGAAAGTTCCTTACTTTTCAAGTCGAGCAATCAACGATCCGGCGTGAGGGGAAACACGTTCTAGGGATGGCCAAAGAAATCTCTTTAAATGATTGGAATTTAATAATCTACTGCCTAAATTTCTCCAACAAAATTACACCAATAGTACTGCAATACATGATAAGTCAAAAGGGATCAGCAGCCAGCCTTCGCAACTCTATTCCACCAGCCAGCTGTGCGTGTCTGCGTATATATAAGTCATTTTCTAATTATAAAACCAGCTGTCTGAGTGCGTTTTCTGTCTTATATATAGTCATTTTCTATTCAACTTGCTCTGTGTGTGTGTGTTTTTTTATATATACAAACCTTTGCACATTTCAATCCCATCCCATTTTTCTTACCCATCAAATCTTGATCTTTCTCTACAAAAAGCTTGTAGTTTTGAAATATTGACGTGCGGAATGACAGCGATGAAGAAGAAGATGAGATTTCAAGGTGTTTTTTCCAGCTGTTTAAAGATTGATGAGTGCCTTAATAATCCACGGCCAAAAGAAGCTGTTTACAAGAAACATTCTTCATATAGAAGGATTTCACTAACAGACTTGAGCAGTTCAACACTATCTGAAGATTTATCTGCTTCTTTAGCAGGCTCCAATCTTTATATATTTACACTTCAAGAACTGAAGGTGATTACTCAGAACTTCTCATCGAGTAATTTTCTCGGCGAAGGAGGGTTCGGGCCTGTCCACAAAGGATTCATTGATTACAGACTCAGGCCCGGTTTGAAGGCACAGCCTGTGGCAGTGAAGCTCCTGGACTTGGATGGTGCACAAGGTCATAGAGAATGGCTGGTATATAATTTTAGAATTTCGTTCATAATATTTTGTTTAACAGTGTTGGATTTAATTAATTAATTGAGATTATGTTTATGATCAACAGACTGAAGTGATTTTTCTTGGTGAATTGAGACATTCACATTTGGTGAGGCTGATTGGATACTGTTATGAAGAAGAACACAGGCTTCTGGTATATGAATACATGCCTCGAGGCAGCCTCGAAAATCAACTCTTCAAAAGTACGTAAACACAAGAAATTTATCTATTTTGATGCATTAGTTTCAAAATATTTCAATTTTTTATCTAAAATAACATTCTCAAGCTTACACAAACTCCATTGATAATTTGTATTCTTGTTCTCTTGTTTATTTATTTATTTTTATTGAAAAAAATGTAATTTTTTACAAGTTTCTTGCTTAGCCTATATTTTTGAGCTCCACTTTTTTTTCTTTCTCAAAACTCATTTTTCTAATATTCATTTTCAATCATATATTCTCTCATAAAAGTATTATATACGTAAATTCAAAATTTTTCCTATCCACTTATTCGATGCCCACTAAAAAGAGTTTTTTTTTTTTTATAAAATAACATTCTCAAGCTTACACAAACTCCATTGATAATTTGTATTCTCGTTCTCTTGTTTATTTATTTATTTTTATTGAAAAAAATGTAATTTTTTACAAGTTTCTTGCTTAGCCTATATTTTTGAGCTCCACTTTTTTTTCTCAAAACTCATTTTTCTAATATTCATTTTCAATCATATATTCTCTCATAAAATAATTATACACGTAAACTCAAATTTTTTTCCTATGCACTTATTTGATGCCCACTAAAAACAGTTTTTTTTTCTGTGAGGAAAATGAGTTTTGAAATAGTAATTTTTTAAAAAATGTGTGATTAAAAAGTGAAGAAATACAAAATATTTTATTGTGGAATTATGTAGCTGAAAATGAGTTTTTTTTTTTTCCCTGAAAAAGGAGTTTTTGGAGAATAATATTATGATAGACACTATTTCAAAACCTATTTTTCTAAAAAAAAAAAAAAAAATGAGGCTAAAAAATGGCTTAATTCATGCTGTAGCATAGGTAACACTAGCTGTAACTCATTTCGGCCATTTTATTGTATTAAATATATCAAGTTGCTAAAAAGTAATTTATTAGATAGGACAGAATTTGGTTAAGGGTAAATAATTGTCTATTATTCCCCAGTGGATAGTTGACACTTGACACTCTTGTTCTACGCGTAAACTTGTCAATGTTGATCACATTCTCCTAATTCATATTTTCACTTTTATTGCAATTATTCCCCCGTGGATGGTTGACACTATTGTTCTACGCGTAAACTTGTCAATATTGATCACATTCAACTAATTTTCACTTTTATTGCAATAATTCCCTGTGGATGGTTGACACTATTGTTCTACGCGCAAACTTGTCATTGTTGATCACATTCACCTAATGCATATTTTCACTTTTATTGCAATTATTCCCTGTGGATGGTTGACATTATTGTTCTACACGTGAACTTGTCAATGTTGATCACATTCACCTAATGCATATTTTCACTTTTATTGCAATTTGCACATGAGTATATTACGTCGTTTATGACCTCGAAGAAGAGAAGAAGAAAATAATATCGTGATGATTCAAATAAACACACACACATATATAGAATTGTTCTATTGTGGACAACATAAAACGTGTCCACAACTTATGGCACATCAGCAAGTCTAAATTGTTAACAATGACGACTTGATTTTTTGACATGGCAAAGGCACGATAAATTCATATGGGAGATCATCTTGTATATATATTGTATTAGATTAAACAAACAATTTTTTTGGTATGAATACACCAATGTTAAGGTTAAGTACAAGCTTGATTTCATTTTAATAATTTCTTGATGGAGCTAAGATTAATTACTAAGAATCAAATTTATTTTCACATATGCAGAATATTCGGTTCCACTTCCATGGTCAACAAGAATGAAAATTGCTCTTGGAGCTGCAAAAGGACTTGATTTCCTTCATGAAGCTGAAAAGCCTGTCATATACAGAGATTTTAAAACTTCAAACATTTTGCTAGACGCAGTATGTTACTCTTATCATCTCATCCCAACTTCTCCAAAACAAGTATTTTTCTTTAAACAAATAAAAATATCTTATTTGAAACTCCATCATCATGTTTCCAGGATTACACTGCCAAACTCTCAGATTTTGGGCTGGCGAAGGATGGTCCAGACGGGGATCACTCGCATGTGTCAACGCGTGTTATGGGCACAAGAGGTTATGCTGCCCCTGAATACATTATGACAGGTTGGTGACTTCTTCCATGCTGCTAAATGAAAATTATGACATGTTTGGTATGCGACAGTACAAGCATAGTAGAGGACAAGATTTTTAATTTCTCTTTCTTCATTAATCGTGTCTAGCACTCGCCAACGTATTCCAAACGCAGTGTAATTTCCTTTTGAGTCGCTTAAATGCCAAGTATGTGACATGACTCATAAAAAATGGATTGAATTTTTTGCAGGTCACTTGACAGCAGCAAGTGATGTATACAGCTTTGGAGTAGTACTCTTGGAGCTTCTAACAGGCAAAAGATCGGTACACAAAACCCGTCATCATAAAGAACGAAACCTTGCAGAGTGGACGAGGCCTATGTTGAAGAATCCTAGGAAGCTTAGCAGGATAATGGATCCAAGACTCGAAGGCCAGTACTCTGAAGTGGGGGCTCAAAAAGTTGCTGCCGTAGCTCACCAATGCTTAAGCCATAGGCCAAAACTTAGACCTAAAATGTGCGAAGTGATTAAGATTTTGGAGCCATTAAAACTACTTGATGACAGCACAATTGGCACATTTGTATTTGAAGTTTCAACAGATAGTCATTTGCAGAAATAAAGTGCATAGGAGAGCTAGCGGAGGACAACTCCACGAAGACCATAAACATCAAATCAGAAGTACGCCAGTTGATTATTGAGAAACTGCGCTACACTAGAACTTGATAAAGAACCTATATCTTGAAGATTAAAGAGAGCATAGATTGAATCAAACTGTATATATATTTCATAGCGATTTATTTCTGGTTGCATGGGTAGAACTTGTTATGCCTTGCCACCGAGACTTAAATCAAAGTGTCACGTCAGCAATTCATGGAGGCAAGAAAGTCAACAAAGACCTAACTTGTCAAATGTAAAGAAATCATATGAATGGCCGAGGCTCTTATACCGAAGCACTGTCTAAACGGCGGAAGTGCGTAAGTCCGAAGTGTTATATAAAGAAATTGAAGAAGACGAAGCTCTTCACACAGATGACAGATACAAAGCCTCCTCCAATCGAGGCTCTCAGTTCACCCGAAGCTCATGTAGCTGAAGCTGTCTCTTACAAGATCTGTAGTCAATCTTTAGGAATAATTGATGTAACTGTTTAATAATGTCAGGTGTGTCAGCCTAATGTATAGGGCGGCTTACCCATTGTCAAAGTATTTATTGTATAATAGACATTGATGTCAAGTCTTAGTAAAAGAGATGATGTCACGTGGTTCTAATCCAACGGATACCACATCAGCCAAAGTACTATAAATAGGCCATCTTTGTAATTGGAAAATGGTTGGATTCTTGAACTTTTGACTCTTGAACTCTTAATCTTGGATAATAAAAAATGGTCTTGAAAACTCTATACATGTCACATTGTCCCTTTTTTTTTTCATATACATTAGTTTAATCTTTTATTAGTTTACTTTGATATTTGATTGGTGATTGTTGTTAACGCAATCATCTTTGTTTCACCCATTGGTGCTTGAACACTTATTTCTCACGTCGTGAAGTATCTCTCGCGTCCACGTTCATCCCGCTTCTTACCAGCGTTCCAGTCAAAATGCGCAGAAATTTACTTGAGTTGACGTGAGTGAGCCCGGCATATGTTGTTCACGTACGCGTCACGTTTTTCAGGTCAAAATAACTCGTATTTGTTTTGATTGTATAACAATTTGTATTCTTCCCTAGACTGTATTTCAAATGAAGTTTATTTGAGCAGTGGAGAAATAATCCATTGACCATGAAATGAGTTGAAACAATTATTTTGAGAGTGAGATCAAATAAAACACAAGCTACCTTGATATGTGAATCGCGAGTGATGTTCTAAAATTATCAAACACGGCTAACTAACCACATACAGAATTGATCCCACCAAGTTATTCTTTGTTTTTTTTGCCAAGGCTAGACTCGTATTAAAATGTAAAGCCTTTTTGTATATATAAAACTTACATATTTTAGATTGATTCATAAGAGGGCATCTATCCCTTGTGTGCTTACTTCGTTATTTTACCTTTTGTCAAATCTCAATCAACGAATCAATCCCAGAGAATCAGTGAAATAAAGTACATCTAGATTGAGTAAACATGAAACTAGTCTACCATGTTTGGCTGAGCTTAAAATGAGTACAATTTGCTTTTAACTAACTTTTTTTGAATGAATTTTATTTTTCTTACCTTTAAGTACAAGGGTTACTTGTTATGGAAGTAATTCTTACTTTTTTAAAATAAATAATTTATTTATTTCGATTTTAACCAATAAACAAATTAATTTTTTTTCAATTTTACTTTTTTTTTTATTTGCAAGTAGTAAACTTTTTAGCTAAGCAGGCACATGCTATTCCTAGGTGCTTCGTTTTGATGAGAATGCACCCCGAGTGACGACTTAACTTTGTTGCAAGTTAAACAAATAGAAAGAAAATGAGGTCAGGGAGGGGCAGTGTACTAGTAATGCCCATGTATCACATCCTTGATGTTCGAACTGTCTTGGCAAGGGCACAACCCTGCTCTCATGCCACGACCTCAATTTAAGTGTTCTTGTAATGGGTGCATTTCATGAATTCTACCTTTCGGAACAAGGCATAAATTAGTTTTACTTATTCCACACAATCTTGCTTAGTGAGTTTATTTTCTCAAGCGCTTGTCCGTTTCACGAGCTTTTAAGAGAAAAATCGCGACTTTGTATTAAGGGGATACCTCTTCGAAGTTCATATAAGTGAAATTTTAAACAATTAAACTTTTAAGAGAAAAGCTCCGACTCTCTATTAAGACGATACCTCCTCGAAGTCCAAATAGATGAAATTCGTCATAACATCTTTGCTACATCTAGAGTCATTTTTACTATCAATACTTTAATCTAAAATATGGTATAAATATGACAAAGTAAAATCTATATCTATGTATTTTCTTGTCTATCCTACTCGATTTTGATATTATGATTTACTTCACAAGGATTTTAGTCAAGATTTACTTCATTTGTTACGATGCTCAAATATTAAGCAAGAGGGAAAAATAGTTATTTGAGAGGAAAATATATGAATTGCAGGGCTTTCTTCTCTCGAAAGGGATGTATTTATAAATTTCCCTTCAAGAATTTAGGATAATTTCATTATTTTGAGAGAGGTGACAGTCGGTAGCCTTTTATTGACTAATTTATAACTGATTATATTGTCAAATTTTATTCAGGGTATGTTTGATGGATATTATTAAGAAAAGAATGTATTTTAAATAGTGATATGATCAGAAATATGTTGTTAAAAAATAAGGAAAAATTATTGATGTGATAAAAATATTATTTTATTGAAAAATGTATGTTTGAAAATGAATTATGTAATAATATATTTTGAAGAAATGTATGTCAAACAGGGGCTCATTTACTTGTATGTCACGTATTAGCCCTCAAGTCACGTGTTAAGCAATTCTCGTGTTCTAATATGAGTTCTTTGTTGGCTTGAATGGGGATAAGTTCGCCTGGTTGGCACAAGGCTTTTGAACTCCTTCGTATATGGCTTTTGCAGCGCCAATACTGGGCAAGGTTTGCGGCATATATTTCAACCAATAGTCCCTGAAGTCTGAATTTATTATATTAATTCTAGGACTTTAATTGTTCGATATTTCGGGATCGCGAACTTTCCTGTTAACTTGGTCCAATTATTTATTGGTATTTACTTTGTGGTTTTTTTATGTTGATTCACACATGATTCTGGGAAACAATCCGTTTGGTACACATTAAAATGAAAAAATGCATTTTTTTTGAAGTGATGTGATGGAGAATATGTAGTTGAAAAAGAAGGAAAAATTATTGATGTGATGGAAAATATTATTTTATTGAAGAATGTGTGGTTGAAAATGAGTAGGAAAATGAGAATGAAAAAAATAATGTGGCCCAAACAAGAGCTAACTTTCTTCATTCTAGCATGCATGGTGGGATTGTTTTACGGCCGTTTGTTTTGCTTTTCATATTTAGCGACTAAGATTGCACGATCTTTCAGATGATGAGTATGTTAGTGTTCAACAACTATGATAAGGTCTCTATAACATTATGCCCTCGTTTGAAAACAATTATTTTAAAACTCTTTATTCTATATACTCATTTTTAACCACACGTTCACACAATAAAATTAACTGCACGTAAACCAAAAAATTTTCCCTACTTTTTAAACACACATTCTTCAAAAATTCACTATTTAAAACTTTATTTTTGTCAAATAATGACCATCAAACATGGATTATATACATGTGAAATGCTATTACTTGCTTTCATTTTTTTTAATTACAGAACATGTATTTTGAAATTTGGTTTATTGTAGATTTTGGGGGAAATCTTTTGTCTCCCTTAGAATCCTTTTGAGTGCTATCATCGATTCTTCAATTTTGTTTCTAATTTTACTGTATTTTTTTAATGAATTATCTTTAGGCATTATGCCGATGTTTAATGTAATCGGACAAGATCTTGGAATTATCCTAATCTTCCTTTTGCTATGTCATGGTCGCATATTTGCAATCAACCATGCTACATGTACATGGTGGTTGACATGTGGTTTTACATTGTTCCACGTGTCACGGCATAATTTACCAGTTTGAAAATAAAAAATAGTTTTCCGTCCATTCACTTTTAAATTTGCAAAGGCATGTCAACCATTATATACAAAATCGATGTACAAATGGCTTAATCCATTTGCAATTTCGATCTCAGAGTATATAATCCAAAAGCTGACGGATAATGGTACGAAAGCTAGCAATATTATATATCCGCTCTTTTAAACAAGGATATAGTATTTTATAGCACATTTGCATTTAGTTTCTGTTTGAGTTTCATTATTTAAAAACTTCTATTTTTCAAACTCATTTTTAATTATACATTCTTTCAAAGAGTAATGCTATTTATTATTATGATTATGGAATATTGGTGACGTGATAACCTATTATCTCTCACATTTCTCTCTTTCTATCTTCCCCCTGACAAAAATTGAACTGCTCAAACTTATTATTTCACATAAACTGTCACATTACCGATATTTCTTCATTATAATGATAAATAATATTATTCTTCAATAAAATAGTTTTACATGTAACACATAAAACTAAATTTTTTCCTATTTTTCAACCATATATTCTCCAAAATATCACCGTTACAAGAATATATTCTCCTAAAAAATGGAACTCAAACAAATTGTTTTTAAAAGTACGATGAAAAAATAAATCATTTTACTTCTTAACAGATTTTTGAACGAAAATCGTTATTAAAAACAAGATATGCTCATTAATAAAATGCTGAAGATAAGATTAATGTATTGAAAAAAATAAAAGATTGAAGACAAAAATGTTACAATGAGCAGAGATTAAGACCTTAAATGCAATTAAATCATAATGATAACAACTATTGTGTCATGTGTTGATGATATAATGTGGAATGTGGACATATTCACTGGAGATTTTCCAAAATAGACGGGTCAAATGATCCATTTGGATTTTTTGTGTAAAAGTCAATTTTCCCTTAATGAAATGTTTTTTTTATTGTAAATT